TTTATTGTTAGAGATTAAAGATCCACTTATTTATTATATTTTATGTGGGTATGTTATAGAAGCAAAATGGGATGCTTGGACTGAAAGGTCGATATGTTCTAAATCATGTGGTTCTGGAGAACAAGTGAGAATACGCAACTGTTTAAACCAGTTTAACACAACGGATGGGTATTTAATTGACTGTGAAGGGTCATATGTAGAAACAAGAGTGTGCAACACTATTCAGTGTCAATGTTTGTATAAATAATTAGTTTGCAATCTTTTCTTTTTACCTCAGGTATTGATTTGATAACCTCTGGTATACCATTTTTTACTCTTTTTTTGACGTGTAACATCAATCCATCTTCTGCATCATTCAATAAAAAACTAAAAAACATATCTACATAATCATATAAGCTAGGTATTACAGCAATGAGCAAAGTTGAATAATGTTTAGATTTGAGAAATATTTGTTAAAATGATGAGAAATTATAATAAGACAAATCAAAACTTCTAGTGTACAAAGCTGGAAAACAATCTATTTTAGTTTAGGTATACGAACGAAATGTCATTGTTAATGTATCACATCCTAATATTTTCATACGATAATATTCTATTTTTGTGTACAATGGCACTTGTTAGAGCAACTTAACTGAAATCTTTTGATAGAAAGTTCGCACACATAGGATTGTTTGGCATCATGAGATTTGTATCGTACTGTCCAGTGACTTGACATTTCGGCGGAATGTATAGGGTTTTGACATAATACTACAAATGTACAGCAATGATTCCTCTCGAACGTATCTTCTCAGAGACTGTTTGAAATCTTTCTAACTTGGTATTGTTACATCTGATATTACAGCTGAGTCGATTCTCTGCTGAAGGACTGTCAGTCTCCGAGGGTATCACCAGACCAGTTGCCAGTACTTTTATACTGGCATGAAAATACCGATATTCCTTGATTAAAATTTGCTGTAATACAATTTTTGAATTAATTTTAAATTAAGGAATGTATCTCCCTCATGCAAAGATCTGATTCCTTGTCCAGATTCGAATATACTTAAGGTCCTTTTTAGTTTTAGTTTTAGATTAGGTTTTTAATTTTCAAAAATGTTGGCTTCAAGTATTTTGATGAGACAATAAATATCGAAATGCGCATCTGTGCAGTAAAATTGGTTCTGAGTATGTTATTACTTCATCTGCTGTTGAACTTTTAGTCACCGCCGGTATCATCAGTATAGTACTTCTGATATTGTTTAATTGAAATTTGCAGTTATAAATTTTTTGAAATAATTTTAAATTAAGGTATATATCTCCATCATGCAAAGCTCTAACTACTTGTTCAGATTTTAATATGATTTAAGTCTTTTTTGGATTTTATCATCTCTGCAACGTTAATTTGGATTTATAATTGTTTTTTAACAAAATGTTATAAAATACAGGCCATGTTCAATTTTGAACTTTGGTACTGGTATTTACCTAAAAGAGTTCTTCTGCAGGCGGGGCTATATGTGATAACTAGATCACTAATTCTGGTTGTTTTACTCTTAAAAATAATGAAAGCTTTTGTCCTTCAAGGATCAACTGACGTTGACATGTTATATTGTCTTTTTTTTTGACTATTATTGTTAAATTATGCAATCTGATTGTAAAAAAGAAAGTTCATATTTCTGCGCTTCGCTTTCAAAGATCGGACAGGGTGCAGTTTTACTTTATGTTTTAAAGAACTTTCGGATTCATCTAGTGTTGTTGTAATGATACATACCTTCATAAATTAGAAGACAGAAATATCATTGGATTGTGTATAGAAAGTAAAACGGTGTTGTTTCAGATTCCGTTAAGCAAAGCGTGGATAAGGGATCTGTATTTCAACCAGATCGGGATTTATCGGACCATTTTTTTTCACTACTATAATACAATGACATGCTGTGAAAGTAACTCTTCTGATAATGTTCCTGAGGAAGCATTCAAACTTGTTTGGATAACGTGTAGTTGGCCATTTCATTAGACTATTTTTTAAAGTGTGTTGAGACCTGTGTATTGGCTATCTTCATGATCTTTTGCAGTATACTAACACATTATGACAGTATGAACAGAGAAGCAAATACATGCAAATTTCAACATGGCATAGCAATCTAAGTATATATTTGACCATAAAACCTCTAAAAACAAAGACAAATTTACTAGTAATGCCTCGTACACATGATTATGTAGTACATTCACAAGGAATACTTTTGAAATCATTGTATTTGAATTCTAGGGATGAAGCAAATGTAGAACAAAACATAAATATAAGAAATATATTATTTGTGTGTGTATCTTTGATGTTGGCAATACAAGTGCAGTTTAATTATCATTTGGAGATCTACTAATGTTAATGGAAACGATGGCAGTTTCACCTTCAGAGCTACCAATCTCTCTGTTTTATCGTGTAGTGTACTTCTTTAAAATAAATTTTATTGCAAAAAACGCTTCATCAGCTCTCAGTACTCCTAGTAAGAACAGATTCATCTTAATGTGTCTTTAGTCATTTGTCAGCTACTTACGTATCCATTTCGGCCTTTTTGAATTAGACCATATGACTAAATTGAAATTTAAATTGATCACCAAGTTTGTTTCCAGTGTAATTTCATTCCCCATGATACTGTATGAACAAAATGCATATTAAACTGTTTTTCAGCATTTGTGGTTGACACAATTTAAAAAATATTGATATCTTAAAGACTAATGTCTTATAAACATGAAAGATTTCATCTGTTAAATCTATAATGCTCTTTGAATTTTGGCTTTTAAACTATATTAGGGAAGGTTCATAATCCTAAAACTATTGTAACAACTCTTAACGTGAAACAATTATGTCATCCAACTATTGCAGCTAGGTTAAATAACAGTCTAATAGTAGAGTAGATTGCAAATAACTGATGGACAGTCCCATAACTCGATCATGTAGAAGGTGTTCATACACATAAAGTTCACATGAATGATATGTTGTTTGAATCAAATTTAAAAACAAAATGTATATCTAATAAAGTTAAAGAATTATTACACCTTTTGAAGTCATAAAAAAAATTATACAATTAAAACGTATTTTTAATGTTTATTAACAAAAAGAGGGAGAAGTTACCAAAACGGAAATCAAAAACCATAATTGGGCACAAAACAGAAAAACAATAGTAGTTTGACGATGTTCAAATCTCACAAATCGTCTGAGCAAATGCAAATCAATGCAACCAATTAAAAATGAGTTTTTGCATTAACTCTCGAAAAAGCGAGTCCGAGTGCGTTGACATGGTTATCGACTCCTTCTATACATGAATCACGCAGTCGCAATACTCAGATAAAATGTTCCAATCGGGAATAGAACTCAATAGGACACAATCATTAAGATAACAGATCAGACGACGATGATCACACAGTCGCAAAAAAAATAACAGATCAGACGACGATGATAACACAGTCGCAAAAAAACAAAACAGATCAGACGACGATGATAACACAGTCGCAAAAAAAAAATAACAGAAAAATTTCGTGTGCATGAATGATACAATTGAGAAGTTCAAAGTTAATAAATATTATAAGGCAATGTACACTCAGTAAAAGGGTTCAAATGTGAAACATTAATAATTTGTTACTAAGGACGGAGGTCATTTATGTCTGAGGTATTACTTTTTAACAATTCATCATTTTATTAACAGTAAATAAAGTCTCTATTTCATTTTACTCACTTTAACATCACCATGTCACAAAAATGCAACTGCAAAATCAGCTGTATACTTTGTACACATTTAGACATGTCTAAAAGGAGTTGGCTATAGGGACGGAAAATATTCTTTATTGATTAAATATATATTCTCGATTCCCGAAAAAAAGGGAAATTTATTTAAATGCATTCTATTTGTAGATTGTGATGACAACAATTTTCACTATTCATTATCCAAATCCTTCTCGGACCTGAAGGAAGATACATCTCCTGGTATTATTATTTTCTTAAATCTAGTTATAAAATTAATAATTAAATTCTTCAGAAGGACTGCTTATCAAAAACTTATATTTCAAGCTAAATATAATAACAGTACACAATATTTTGATAGAATTATGTATTTCGTGTTTACATAATCTATTTATTGATACATTTCGTAGCTATGATACGATAAGGTTCGCTTTGTAAAGGCTATCCGACGATAATTTTGAAATTTGCTCGATTTATTTTTTTAATTTTAGATATTTTTTAAATTGAATATTATAATTACTTTCAGGATCCGGTTTTTTGCTTCTGAATGGGATATTTGCTGTTAATTGTTGTGGGAGAATAAAAATGTGGGAGTTTATTCCTGTAAAAACTGGAAGTCTTACATTTGTGATCCTAAAAAAGTCAGATGGTCACAAATACAAATTTGTTGGATCAAACCAAGTACATCTCTCAGGTATAGAACTTAAATGCTCTGTAGAACAGTTGATTCCAGAGCACAATTGTAAATCAAAATCAGTATATACAGTATATCAGTATACAGATGGGTGCGGTCCTAACCTGTACAGCTAGTTAACTTAATAAGCAGACTTTAGGACTGGTTAAAGTTAACTTAGGACAGGTTTTATGACTGCTGTTACCGGTCCTAGGACAGAATTTATGTTAACTTAAAAAGCAGACTTGGTCCTAGGACTGTTTAATGATTGTTCGAAAAGTTAACTTCAGGACAGGTCCATGGCCACTATCGAAGTTAACTTGGACGAAGTTAACTTTGCCACAAGCAGTCCTACACACAAGTAAACTTATGACCAGGTCTGCTATCAAAGTCAAACCAGACCTGTTCTTATAAAAGTTAACTTTGGTTTGGTCCATGATAAAGTTAACATGATTCAAAGTTAACTTTGGTCTGGTCTGCTCCTTTAAGATAAAGTTAACTTGATCCCAAGTTAACTTTTGTCTGGTCTGGTCTGCTCCTCCAAGATAAAGTTAACTTAATTGTTAGCAGGACTGCTTTGATTGATGAATGTCATATGAGTATCGACTTCCTATAAGTGAAAATCATACGATCTTTGCCTTTTTAATGTAAAAACAAATATCAACTATGCCACCAGTAAAACCACCAAGACTTTCATTGTATGTAAGAGAACGAATAATCAGTTTGCGGAGAGGGGGACAATCTCTACGCAAAATTAGACAAACTTTGATTGACAGTGAAAATATTCAGGTGTCCGTTAATGCTATTTGTGCATTTTTAAAACGATATCGACAGAGTGGTTCGTTAAAAGACATTCCAAAGATCGCAAGCAAGCCACCGATTCTGAAAAGAAATCATTTAATTTTTATTGACCAGACAATTCGTCAAGATAGGGAAATTTCTGCCCAGGAAGTAGCTGTTAGTTTACGGCGACGTTTCCAACTTGGAGTCAGTTCAACCACCGTTAAAAGGGCAAGACGGCGTCTAGGATGGAAGCATTCTCCAACTCAATACTGCCAGATGATAAGGGACGACAACAAGCCGAAACGACTGAACTTTGCATTGAGATGCATCGCTACAAATGAAAATTTCGATAATGCAATCTTCACAGATGAAACAACAGTAAAAATTCAGACATCCACAAAATACAGTTTTCGCAAAGACGATGAACGAGTTCCAGCAAAGGGCAAACCAAAGCATCCCTATCAGGTATGAATTATTTTAACACTAACTATTTAAATTGACCGGAGTTTCATCCGTTCATTATCAAAACCACAACGGGCATGTAGTTTTGGTTACTTTCCCCTCTTCCCTGAATTAACTTAACCATATTCCTGTTGCACATGTACTTGCTTAACATCTGGAAGAATGAGGCATATTGTGAAGTCACTTGAAACTTTAACAATATTTTTATTATTATGAGTCCTACAATGCTTATTTATGAGATTACTAGATAAAATAATCTCCTACTTACATAGGAACCGAAATCATGTTAGACGGTTTGCAAGGTAAGGTTTTCGATGCTAGCTAGACTATATTTATTAATATATGAAGGGCATTCTTACCCTCAACTAACTTAAGGGTAATTTCATTTTTGTAGTGCCTTATTACGCATACCAGTTGGCTATCATACATCCTCCCCCCTCCCCCCCCCCCCCCCCCCCCCGCAAAAAAAACAAACACAAAAAACATCTATGATACGTGTGAAATCATTTTCAATGATTATGTACATCATGAATCAGTAAGAACAAATTGTTCAATGATGTTGTTTAATTACCTAGATTGACACCCTGGGCCAACAGGTGAAACTTATTCTTAAAATATCAGCTTGAGATTGGTGTATCTTTATGTGTTTTAAATGTGCATGTTAATGAATAAGATCAGTCATCGTAGATTATTTTTTTCGTTGCAAATATAAACTTAACATTGTCCCATACTACATGTACATACACGTCATTTAAGTCATAGTGAAACCCTATGACTTAAATGACGTGTATGTACATGTAAGTCATAGTGAAACCCTATTTTACTATTTTACTGGGATGCCTTTGACTGTATGTTTAACTTTTCTTGCTTGATTCTGTAACTCTTGACCGTATTACAAAATACAGAAATGAAATTAAGTTTTTCTCTTTTCATTCACTCAGACAATATAAAATTAGGAGATATGGTTGGTATGAATTCAAATAAAATACAACTACACATCAGAATCCGAATTATATGGATTTTAACCTACCATGACTAAAGCCAGTTCACCTGTTCTGCGTTCCAACAAAGAGCAAAACCGAATACTGCTAAAAAAAAAGGCCAGATGAAAATTGAACAATTAAAATTAAACAAAAAAAAGAGTTTGTTTTGCAGTAATACATTAAAACATGCTAGTCATGCTTATAAAGTCAAATGAAAGTGTGACATAAACATGATAAATATATACAAAAATGGGAAATGAACACGATGAATCCTCACTCAGTAAATATATTATGTACTGTACGGATTTTTTCGTAGATCTTTAACATGTTTAAGATAGCTTGGTGTTTAGTCTGGGCACAGACGTGACAGATAACTATTAAATACAATTCTTTTTAATGACAGAGTTGACTGTCAAACACACATGCATGTTAAATAAGGTATTAAAATCATTTTAGTAATAAACACATTTCTTATTTTCAGGTTCATGTTTGGGGAGGAATCTCCCGTCGAGGTGCCACTGGACTATTTATATTTACTGGGATAATGGATAGTATATTTTATCAGCAGATTCTTCAACAGACTTTCATTCCGTTTATCCAAACAACTTTTCCAGACAACCACCGCCTTATCCAAGATAATGATCCAAATAAAATTGAGAATGGAAATGGGGAATGTGTCAAAGAGACAACAACCCGACCACAGAACAGACAACAGCAGAAGGCCACCAACAGGTCTTCAATGCAGCGAGAAATTCCCTCACCCGGAGGCGTCCTTCAGCTGGCCCCTAAACAAATATATATACTAGTTCAGTGATAATGAACGCCATACTAAACTCCAAATTGTACACAAGAAACTCAAATTAAAAATAATACAAGACTTACAAAGGCTAGAGGCTCCTGACTTGGGACAGGCGCAAAAATGCGGCGGGGTTAAACATGTTTATGAGATCTCAACCCTCCCCCTATACCTCTAGCCAATGTAGAAAAGTAAACGCATAACAATACGCACATTAAAATTCAGTTCAAGAGAAGTCCGAGTCTGATGTCAGAAGATGTAACCAAAGAAAATAAACAAAATGACAATAATACATAAATAACAACAGACTACTAGCAGTTAACTGACATGCCAGCTCCAGACTTCAATTAAACTGATTGAAAGATTATGTCTTCATCATATGAATATCAGGCACAATCCTTCCCGTTAGGGGTTTAGTATCATACCATCATAACATATATGAGAAGAACATAACCCGTGTCATGCCAACAACTGGTTTTTAAATAAATGTGTTTAGTGCCGATGCAAAGACCCTATAAGTGAATCAATATTAACGCCAAAATATGCAATCTTTAATGACCTGACAACAGTATCGTAACTATATCCCTTCTTAATAAGTCTATTTAAAGGTTTTGTTAGTTTCAGAGGTGAATACTGACAATTTTGTGCTTTATAAAGAATATTTCCATAAAAAAATGGATGTGAAATACCTGAACGTATAAGAAGTCTGCATGTTGAGCTATATTTACGAATGATGTCCTTATACCGATGATAAAATTTAGTAAATGTTTTGACTAGTTTGTGATATCGAAAACCCTGGTGTAATAATTTTTCAGTAATACATAAATTTCTCTCGTTAAAATCTAAAACATTGTTACATACACGAGCGAATCGTACAAGTTGAGATATATAAACACCGTAAGATGGTGACAAGGGAACGTCACCATCTAAAAAAAAGCATGTTTCAAGGTCCACAAAGACGTTCATGACCACAAACAACATAAACCATTGGCCAACACCACCTGAATCCCCTGATATGAATCCAATTGAAATGGTAATTATTAATACCAAGTGCAAAATAGTTTACCTGTCAAATCTGTATATATTTAAAAATAACTGTTCTTTTCTAGTCTATATTTTATTGTATATGGTGCAAGAGCCAGCAAAGTGAGCCCTATATGGAATTTATTGACCTTGAATATCGTAATCACGAATAAAATGCCTACCCATGTGAAAACTACAATACAGTATAGCTTGCATCAATTATTTCTTAAATAATTCATACACATCACAAGATACCAGTATATATTTTAATTCATTAAGACAATCCTAGATTTAAAGATTTATTAAAATATATATATGTATATATTTATTTAATTATAGGTTTGGGCTGAATTGAAACACCATATAAGGAGAAGGAAGAAACCTAAAAATAAGCAAGAACTTCTTGATGGTATTACAGAGTTTTGGCAGACAATGACTCCTGAAAAATGTGTGCGTTACATTGACCATCTGTACAAAGCTATACCAGCTGTGGTTACAGCTGGAGGAGCAGCATCTGGACATTAAGAACTTGTTTGATATTCTGTTCATGAGCTGTCAACTACAAATGTATATGTTTTGTTGGAATTCGATAGATAGCCTTTCAGGAGAAATTATAGATAGCAATACTAAGAATAATGTTTTAGGAAATAGAATTGTTAGAAGATTACAATTGCTGTCATTCATTCTCTTTACTCAAGGCATACATTTTGTCAATTTTAGTTCAGGGTCAAAAATTATTTTTTAGCAGACACGGCTGAGGGAAAAAAATCAGTTTAGAAGATATACATACAAAATGTATTATTTACCGGTTTAAAACATCTTTATTAGAAGTACTGTTCAAAATAATGAAGATATAAAAAATTATAAAAATTTAATATGTGAATAGAATGCAGTTTAAACTTATTTTTATTATCTTTTCACACTGGTTAAAGAAAAATGCTTTGTCTGCATTTAATATGATACTGACATGTATTAACAATTTTTTGAGCCGTTTTTTTTTTACAGTAAGAGGAGGTAAAGCATTATAGCATAAAGTGTAAATTGAGCTGAATGTTTTCTTTAATGCAGTTACTTAACAATTATATATTGGTGAATACATTATTCCATCATGTTCATATCTTTTTTTTTCTTGTGTGATGCTTTTGTTTAATATTGTTGGTTTTTTGTTATTTCACAGTATGCATTTGTTTAATTTCTGTTCCTTAATTATAAATGTAATTGCTTTAGATATATTTTTATTTTCTGAAAGGATAAACTTTTGTCTTTGTAAAACATTAAATGTTCTTTATTATTTGTGTGGAAATTTGCTATATATTTAAATTTGGGCCTAGTGTTCTATAAATTATATGATTTAAAGTTGTCTACCTTCTTTTTTAAGATATTATTAACCAAAACTAGATATGCCATTATGTACTATTCAATTATTATAATAAAATGTATATTTCATATGTCTGTTTAGTTGATAATCAGAAAATTTAAGGTTGAAATCATGATATTGTTTCTTCTGTCTAGATAAGCTGTTTAAGATAAAGTTCATATGACTGTTTGTTTCAACCAATGTTTGACTATACTCTTTGTAGTCCTGTTTTTGAGTGATTATTTTAGGATAGGGTAGACCTGGATGCATCATTCTTTCTATATATATGGCTTATGTTACAAAGTTTCAGTCTGTCATATGTCCATGACCTCATTTCATGGTTCAGTGACCACTTGAAAAATTTGAAGATTTTTTTTGTAATGTTAATTTCTTTTTTATTTTGATAAATAGGATAACTATATTTAGTAGGTGCGTACTTTGCAAGGTCCTCATTTCACAGTTCATTGCTTAGTGTTAATTTTTGGTAATTTGGTCTTTTTGTCTTAAACTATAAGCAATAGTTTACCTATATATGTTGTCTGGTAAGATTGTAAGGTGTATATGTCTATCTCGAAGTTATCATCTGACCTTGACCTCATTTTCATGGTTCATTGGTCGATGATAATATAAAAAAGATGTGGTATGATTACCAATGAGACAACTCTCCACAAGAGATCAAAATGACACAGAAATTAACAACTATAGGTCACAGAACGGCCTTCAACAATGAGCTAAGCCCATATCGCATAGTCAGCTGTATAAGGCCCAGAAATGACAATATAAAGCAATTCAAACGAGAAAACTACTGGCCTTATTTATGTACAAAAAATGAATGGAAAAACAAATATGTAACACAGAAAAAAACGACAACCACTGAACAACAAGCTCCTGACTTGGGACAGGCACATAACATACAGTGGCTGGGTTAAACATGTAAGCAGGATCCGCACCCTCCTCTAGCCTGGGACAGTAGTATAATAGTACAACATAAGAACGAACTATCAAAATCATTTGAAAAAGGCTTAACTCATCAGATGGACAAAAATACAAGTGGACGTGGCCAGGTACTTGTACATCCGAACAACAAAAAGACCCTAGGTACTGATCTGAGAATACTTGCAGTTAACCGACAGCTAGTTCAAAGCCACTAACAACTAATAAAAAAATCATGCACCTGTGTTAAGTTTGTTTCTTATATGCTATGAGCACCTTTATCAAAATCCATATATATTGACCGTAAGCTGTACATGTCTGTCTGGCATGGTTCATCTGACCGTGACCTCATTTTCATGATTCTTGGTCAATGTTTAGTTTTCTTGGTTTAGTCTATTTCTTAGAAACTATAAACAAGTAGTGAACTATATTTGGTGTATTAAATAATTGTAAGGTGTACATGTATTTCTTGTTTTGGTTCATCTGACCTTGGTCTCATTTGTCTTCGATCATGTTGAGTTTATGCGATACTTGTAGTAAAGCTTTATATTTAGGACTATCAACCTAAAATTAATGATTAGTAAAGAAGGCGACAGTTTTTCAGTGTGTGCACTCTGGTTAAATTATCATAGACAAGTGAATTTCAATGCATCAACTAGACAATAACCAATGCATCTACATGTTTAGCGTACTTATAGATATCTTAATCACCATATGGCAATAGGTCAACTGTATTTGGTGTTTAGAATGATTGTAAGGTTTATATGTCTGTCTGGCAGGAATCATCTGACCATGACCACATTTTTTTGGTTCCTTCTTTAATTTTATGTGCAAGTGAGACAGGTACATGCGTGCATTCTGTTTTAGCAAGATTTTTGTGATAACTGCTGATTTGAGGAGACTCCAGGTTAGGTGAAGCTTAAGAACCCACAAACATGTTCATTCCCCTGTAAGTGCCTGTCCAATGTCTGTATTCAGTATGAGAGATGTAAGAGATACCTAAGGACATTAAAACTCTAGATTTGAAAATAAACTGATAACGCCATGGATAAACGACCAAAAGACAAACCAGAGTACAAAAAAACACAACATAGAAAAGTACACACTGAGCAATAGAACCCCACTAAAACTGAGGGTGATCTTGTTATTGTAATTGTTTGCTGTTTTTTTATTTGAGCTTTAATTATTCATTGGGTTTTTATTTTGAATTGTTCTAAATTTTGTTGTGCCATGGCCTTTTATATCAGATTATAATACCGGAAAAAATGCTCATTGTTGAAGGTTATGTTTCAGCAATGTCCCTTTGTATCATATAATAGTTGTCTGATTGGCAATAGTACCACAAGTTAATACTTTTACAATGACCTGTATCTGCAAAGTATGTTGTAGTTCCCTAAATTTTGGTATATATAAAACGGATCGAGTCTGGATATATATATTTGGAATAAACATAAGTGTGTGTTCAATATAAAAAACTACAACTTATGAGAACTGATGTTTTATTTATAAAATTATGCTCATGTTCAGAGAAGATGAGAATATATATAAATTAAACTATGAACATCAACATACGGTCAGATAAGATGAGAATATTCAAATAAAACTATGAAAATCAACATACATACATATATATATTAATATTACTACATTGTATACAGCACATAATTCAATTCACTGCAATTCCTCTTGAAAAGCACAATCACACATATGTAAAAAAAAATGTAAAACAAAAACCCTGTCTCAATGTATTTAACCATCTAAAAAACATTTAAATTCAAATGTCTATCCATTTCTCATGCAAGACGGTTACACACAAATTTAATACAAA